GCGGTGTCATATGTCGCGCGTTCGCTCGCTGCGCGACGTTCGCCCGCTCACCGCTCCCCGCCGTCTCTCATCGATCGATGCGTGACTCCACCTCTCACTATCGGATCTTGAGAGATGTCAACAGATACACCATTTTGCATGTCTGCCGAAGTCCGGCCTTCCGCTCCTCCGTGCACTTATTGGCTCAGACGTTTTTCTTAATTACGCGATAATAATTACGGATTTTGTAAAATGGTATATAACTTTTCTTCTCAGTTTGATCCAATCTACTATAATCTTTGGAGTGGTCCAAATCGAATCCGACACCCTGTATATTCACTTAAACAGGTTACGTATGTAACTTGTAAAGTACGTCGACTATTCTTCGGGCAATTTTTAGAGACGTTGTGCTACCACGCTCGTTCTCGCAAAATAAATATCGTTGAAATTTCAAGAAGAATATTATATAAAGTCGTAAAATAATTTTCTTCCCGTTGTTAATCACTTACGCCGGTAAGTGATTAACAACGGGAAGAAAAATTATTTTACGACTTTACAGCGGCTGAGTGGTTTAATTTAACAATTTATTTCAACGTGTCGACCATCCGGATTGTGGTCCTTTTCGAGGAAACGTATATATATTAATTAAAAATTACATTGTAAAAAGATGTCATCCGTTTTTGCGCGGAAAAAAATGCTATTGATTTCGGCAAAATGAAGTTGCTTGAATTATACGTTAACGTCCCACGGGCTGCCGCAAACGTAAATAATTCACTCAATTATATTTGCCATGGATTTTAATTTTAAGCATTGAACTAAATATCCAGATTATTAAGACAGCATTCTGATGTTTTTCATTTATTAATACCGATGTTGTTTCAACGATTTCATTTCACCGATCTTGGTACAACATCATTCTTTTTTTCCCGTGTAAGTATCGGTCGGAGAAAACTGTTTGAAGATACGTCCATCCGACACAACAGCCACAGTAGGACTGCTGTAGTAGTATTTATTAACCCTTTGAAGCATGGTGGTAACCCACGTTACCACCTCAACTTCTTTACTTTCTGGCCATTTAATTTCTAGTTAACGCATTTAGGTCGGGTTTTTTTTGCATTTTTTGGGTATCTCAGCAATAAAAGAACATAAAAAGGTTGAGCAGGCTGTAATATTTATT